GTTCGGTTTGGGCTTTTGTATATGAAAAAAATATGTTGTTTTAAATCATCACAGATACTTCGAAAGCAACAACAACAAACATCAAAGACAATCAAACGAACCGAAATTCATTCACTCATCCATTAATTCATCCATTTCTTCATACACTCATTTGTTCATTCATTCATTCACCCATTTATTTATTCATTCACAACAACAACAAACAACCCAACCCATTCATTAGATAATTCACTAATTTGCGACAAACAACAAACAAACAAATATACCGCCATCCGTTCATCTCTTTGTTTATTCATTCATTCATCCATTCATTCATCCATTCTTTCATCCATTCATTCATCCATTCATTCATCCATTCATTCATCCATTCTTTCATCCATTCATTCATCCATTCTTTCATCCATTCATTCATCCATTCCTTCATCCATTCATTCATCAATTCACAACAACAACAACAACCCGCCAACAACAACAACAAACATTAAAGCCATTAAATCTGTCACCCTCTTTTTTCAATTAACTCCCCATTCAAACAGGTCACGTGTTGAATGACGTCACGAAAAACATGACGATGATGGAGTGAGTGAATAAATTGCAATTCATTCATTCATTCATCAAATTTAACTTGTGATTGTTTTATTCGTTCTTTCAATCATTCTCATATTTAATCTGTTTGTTTCTGTTTGTATTTTTTGTATCGTAAATTTGTATTACATATTTGTATCTTTTTACTTCAACCTTCATGTTTCTGTATTGTTTTGTATTGTATGTATGTATATTTTTGCATGTTTGTTTTGCAACGTACGTTTGCACTATCACTAACTTTTGTTAATTCAATTGTATGTTTTGCTTGTATTGTATCATTTCAATTGCATGTGTGAATTGTATCTTATTCAGTCAAAAAAAAAATTCTTTCTTCGCAGGCGTCACCAACAAAAATGACGTCAGAAATGACTTTGATGACGCAATTGCCGATCCGGAAATATGCGGTCGATGATTTTAAAACTCAGAAGCTGATGACCTTTTTTGGCTAACTTCACTCTTACATTTTCAATCAATCAATCGATCGGCCGATTAATCAATCAATTAATCAATCAATCAGTTAAATATATTCACATAGCGTATATTTCTTCATTTCAATGAAGAAATTTCAGCCAAAATAGATTGTCTCTAACTAGTCAAATAATAAATAATAATAATAATAATGAAATCGTTTCACACAGAATTTTCAACATTTTCCTCAACGATGTTCCGGTGGGATGGGTACATTCCCAACATCCCACCGGTTCCGCCGCTGAGATGGTGACATAGATGGTGGTTCGCTTCTACTTTTCGTACCTTTTTTTTTTTTTGAACGCCAAGTCGAGAAATTCAAAAACCCGCCCGAACAATTTTATTTTCATTTCAAAACATGATCTTGAAAATCTCAAAACAATAATAATAATAATAATAACGTCATCATTATCATCATCAAAGTAGTAGTAGTAGTAGTAGTAGTAGTAGTAGTAGTAGTAGTAGTAGTAGTAGCAGCAATAGTAGTAGTAATAATAGTAGTAGTATGCATAAACTTGCAGTTTGTGTGGTACTTTTAACAAATTATAAGTGTTACATGTTATTGATTTGGGATAGTTCATAATGATACATAATGTGTTCGTTTGTTTGTGTGTGTATGTGTGTGTGAGAAAGAGAGAGAGAGAGAGAGAGAGAGAGAGAGAGAGAGAGAGAGAGAGAGAGAGAGAGAGAGAGAGAGAGAGAGAGAAAGACAAGAGAGAGAGAGAGGGAGATAGTGTGTGTGTGTGTGTGTGTGTGTGTGTGTGTGTGTGTGTGTGTGTGTGTCTGTAAATAAAAGAGATACATTTTTATACAATAAATATATAAATAGTTGATATGTATAAAATATAATTATGACGACTTAATATTCTCATTCTAGTTTAAAAACGCAATGACAAGTTATAATCAACTACAATAAAAACAACAACACAACAGCAACAATAACAACAACAACAATAACAATAACATCAACAACAATAACATCAACAACAATAACATCAACAACAACTACATCGGAATCCATTGAGGAAGGTAGTAATCAGACATCCTAAACGACAAACTCAACTCAGATTCGGGCTCGGGAAATTTTTGCGAGTAGACGGTCAACCCCTGGGCTAGCCAGGCCCCCCACCAACCAAACGACCCTCCCGATATTATGGTGTGATTGCAGTTCGCAAGCAGCATTAAATCTCTTTCCGGTGACATACCAAAAGGCGAGAAAACAACCATGGCAGATGACTTTATATTCTTCTTAATCCATTTTTCATCCTCGGAGCAGACGATGAAGATGACTTTTTTGAACTTCCCCACAAAAAAATCCATGGCCCTTCTGAAAAAATACTTATCGGCGACCCCATAACCCTTCTTCACGTTCACCTCGTCCAAAAAATCGCCTCTGCGAACGTGCACCCCTACCAGTTTGATATCATCCCTATCGGGTTGTTGCTCATCGCTCGAGAATATGAAAGAGGAGACGGAAGTTTTGATAAAATCGTTGACATCTCTCGTGACATCTAGACCAAAACTTGAGAACTGTTTCCTTATATCAGTCCTAGCATGATCAAAGTACCTCCAAGATTGAAAATACCCGCTAATGCGAATATTCTTCATGAAATTGAGAGAGAACGTTCGACTGTCAAACATGTTTGATCGCCTTTCGTAATAAACCAGGTATTCGTATTCGTTCTGGAATGTTCTAATCTGGCGGGTGCTAAATTCTATTTGGCATTTTAGGTTGTAGAAGACTTTGGCAACGCTACTGCCCTCCACAATGACTGGTTTCAAACCGTTCGCTCTTCCAATGCCATAGAGTGCAGCATATTGAAACATCTGGTTGCCTGGGTGATGAAAGAAAATTATTTTTTGAGATTTCATTCCATAAATTTTAGCTCCGATAGCTAGTGCAATAGACCGATTGATGCTAAAACATCCCTCAGGTATATCTCATGTGCAGGTTTATGTTTTCAAATTGTCAGACCTACTAACAACCTATGACAAATATAACTTGGAAAATGTAAAGACTAACAGCATCAATGTAAAACAACGAAACATCAAACTGACTGAACCGACACACACACGCTTACACACGCATACACACACACACACATCAACCAACTAACCAAGCCCTCCGACAAAATTTAACGTCACATTGTGCGTATTATACCAGGTATAATTCAGAGTACTGGAGTCTACAACTACACCGTGGCTAGGAAACTGATAAGTGGTCGGAGTCAGGTAGGAACTGATGGCCAGACCAACAAAAATACAGAATGTGGGAATGAAAATGATGATGGTACATATGAAGCAATTGAACAATCTCTTCTGCAAATGGCTATTGCATTCTGGATTTCTATGATATTTCGATTCTAAATCTGGTGATGTTTGTTTGTTTGTATGTTTGTTTGTTTGTTTAACTATTGGTTTGTTTTATTATTTATTTGTAAATTCTTTTAAATTATATGTACTCATATTAAACCAAGTTACTAGAAGTTATTGCTAGTAAAATGTCATTATAATATTTACAAATGAAGAGATGCCAGACTATCACATAAAATTTATTTAAAAGACAAATTTATTCTAATAATTTATGTCTATATTTTGTTATTTATTGTTTTATGGGAGTCAACTCTAGATAAGCATTTATTGCTAGGCTGACTCACTTTTTGTGAATAAAATGGATTAAAAGAATGCCACTGAAAAATGATGCCAATGAAGAAAATTATAAATAATAACAATAATAATAACAATAATAATAATAATAATTTTTACCAGAAAAACCGTCAGGCATTTTCTCCAACCTAACATGATTCCTCCTGTATAATTTATCACTCTTATTATCTACAATGGAAAAATATATATTTTAATTTTATCTTCATTTATAAATTAATTATAAAATAATAAAAATTTAGAAAAATAAATTCATAATAAAAATTTAGAAAAATAAATTCATTTAATTAATTTCTAACATATTTATTATTTATATTGCACAAACATTCTATTGTTATAGTTTATTTCATTTTATAATAATAATACAGATGTTATTACTACTACTACTACTGCTACTACTACTACTGCTGCAACTACTCTTGCTGCTGTCGCTACTACTGCTAATACTATTGGTACAATTACTACCTAAAAAAGTAATAATACTACTAAGACAACAACAATACAATAATAATAATAGTTAGTTATTAATATTATAATTAATAATAATAAAAATAAATGATAAAAATTTACTTTGCATATTTATTAATGGGGCAAGAATGTGGTGAACTCGAGTCAGTAGGTTTTTAAATAATCTCAAAATTAAGCTCATCTGTGTGGTGAAAAAAAATAAAAAGAATAAATAATTAATTAATTAGTTAATTAATTAATAAACCATAAATATTTTTTATTAAAAATATAATTTTAAAAATAAAAAATAACTTATTTATTTACTTCAAATTTTAGCAAATTAACCCTCACCATTTGCCAAAAAAAAACTTGCAAAACTATCTAAATTAAATTCATCTCTTGTCAAAACTTATCATCGTCCAAAACATAGACTCTACATAATGTTTACATAGAAAGAACAATAATAAAGAAAAGGTATTGTGTGTATATATTATTATACAGTATATAATGTAAAAAAAACATGTATATATATATAAATAAATATATATATATATATATATATATATATATATATATATATATATATATATATATATATATATATATATATATATATGGGGATATATATAAATA